AATTTTCTTTGTAAATAAATATTTTATAGTTATATAACCTATGTGAATTCCACAGTTGCTTATCATCGATAATAGTCACTACTCAGTTGTTTCTGACTTGATATCCGCTCAACAGTAGTTTATACGATATAAATAGATACAAATTGGTCCCATTCGGGGAAGGTACAGATACTTTTGTATGTATATAAAACAGGGTAAGGGGGTACCGTTGCTTACCTTAACTTAACCTAAATTAAGTTAGTTTGTGTTGTTTTAAGTTAAGTTGGGTAGGTTAAATTAAAGTATGCCCCAAACGCGAAGTAGGAAACGGCTGAGTAGCATACTTCGTTTACTTTCTCTAGCGATTGGCCCCTTCCAATGTCTTGGATGTGCACTAGCAAAATCGGAGGTAGGGAGAAAAAAGCACATTATACTCTCCACTCTTGTACATTAAACATACTTTTTCGTACAGTACTTGGCAAAAGTATTGTTCAATCATGAATAGCAGTGGGTGCCGAAAACGAAAGCTTTAAAACCTTTAATATGTGGTCAAATATAGACAAACATCTAGTTGATATTTTCAGTAGTAATTGGTACAGCACATTTGAGCAATGCAATTGTAGTGGATAAAATGGTCAATTTTTCCGTGCAGTACTGTACAGATTATACGCTCCTCACCGGTTAAGAGTTTGGCTGAGAGTTGTCTCCTTTCTCTTCTGGCCTACTGCTGTTCTTTTCTATTTTGCGCGGGTCAAACTAAAGGTCACGCGTTTACCGCGCCATTTGTAGTATTTTATGAAATGAGATAATCGAATAATAGTAAGCAGTGCAGCAGTTAGAGGTTGCTTAGGTACGTAATAGATCAGGTTTGACAACGTTCATCGTGAGTAAAAGTAGGCGTCCTGTGAGCAACCGCTCTAATCTATTTTTTAAGTTGAAAGAATAAAGTAAATTAGACAGTTTTATTGGGGACTATGCCGACTTTGAACGTCCCAACTATACCAAACTATCCGCCTAAAGATAAGGTTTGATGAAACAATTGTTACCGAGGTAAATTCATTTTATGAATATAATTATACAATACATATATCCTTATTGTTAGAGCTCATCTGCTCACAAATATGCGGAAATCTGGTAGATTCTTTATTCAATATAGTATTCATGCAAATTATGTATATATATCAATAAATTAGTAGTTGTTATAATTATAAACTATTCAATAATTTAAAATTGTAATTTTTATAGCGTCATCACACTACCGCGTTCCTATTAATTTGTCATGATGACGATTACCATACAATGTCTCCCGCTCCTCAATATCACCCTTTTCTTTGCACACCATCTGAATACATTTGGAAGAACAAAGATGGAAAACTTCAAGGTGCACAACATGAGAGAGACTATCTGTATGTAGGTTGAATTACTTTCCCTAAATAGAAAAAAAAGACGAACGATACGTAAGTTCTGTAATTCACGGACAGCTATTCGCATATTGTTTTGACGGCTGAAACAACTATTGCACATGTTACAAAGTAGTTTTTTATTCGACACACATTCGATAGATTCTAATATTATCTCATTATTAATTAATTGACAATTAAAAGGAAAAACGGTATCGAATATGCAGTTTAAAATTTTGTGCCTCGTTGTCTGTTTTCTCGTAGTGAAAGTGTATGGACATACCATGATATATAAAGTCAATGACAAACACAATCTCGAGCCAGGTAGCAATACTATAAATATTATATAATAATTATTTAACTCACTGCTTAAATAACTAATTGGTATAATAACATAAGCACTTAAATGCGACTGTTTAATTTACAAATTATTAAATAATTGCATTTTGGTTGGATAAAATAGATATTGTAATGTGCGTGGGTTTAACAAAATTAACTTCTAAGATTGATAACGACAAAAACTATTTATTTACACTAATTATTAAAGAACTTGAAAACACTATTAAATTATTACTAAACTTAGGTTATGAATTATTCTATTTATTTACACTACTGTTGATATATCACTATTCACTGCGCTATTTATTTCACTGCTATCACTGTCAATTTATTTCTCGATTTGCTTCTGCAACGGCCAATTTATATCTACTTTTTTCTCGGCTTCTCTTCTCCCTCTTCCTTTAAATACTTTTTTGCTTACATTCGGGAACCCTCTAGAAACATCCGGATCGTTTAGTTTTTCTTTGAACTGTATAACTGCTTTCCCAGAACGCAGGTACGACACACAAATTTACAAATACGTCGTACATGAAGAAAGGCGAATCTAATCGGTGAAGCGATAAGCCGTTCACGCACACGTGTGCTCGATCGCACACAAACACTCTCGTGCTCGCTACAATATAAAATAGTACATGGGTAAATGGCAAAATAGCACTCAATAACAGATACAGAATAATTAATTATTATACAACGTGATAGTAGCTAAAAAAAGATAAACTAATGTATAAAGCACATTCTATTAAAGTCAGTAAAACAGAACTTGTGCCTGTTAGTTTGAAATATTTTTGATATTTTATGTAGCTCAAATTGGTACACTTAAGATCCAAAATCAATTGTTGCAACACATGATGAAGAATTACACTGTCAACAAGAATCAGGAAACTAAAACTATACTATATATTTACACATATCCTAATTTACGACGTTGTCTCTGAATTTGTCTATCAGTTGTTAGGATTTCGAAATACTTTTACCTCAAAACCCAAAAATTGCAACTAAATCCTCATTTGGTCTTAGAATTGTCCCATTTGAAATACCTTAATTTCCCAATTTGAATGATGCCAATCTGGTTTATGTGGTTTTCAAATTAGGATATCACGAAATTTCAATGTATTAGGGTAGATTGAATTTACCGTTTCGATAGCATTTCCTTTTCTGAAACACTAACATGATGGATTTAAAAGAAAAAATGAAAAGGGGGTGATCATTTTCGTTTTATTTTTCAACGACCAGCATGCCCCCAGAATTGCCCTACATCATTGAAAATTACTATTGTAAGTGGAATACCTGTACTCGCGTGAAATTAATAAGAGGTAGAGTTTAAATCTGGATGGAAGGTATAATCACGTGAATCCTAGAAGCCAAGTTGATTATCTAGGTGTGTATATATATATTTCAAAAGATATACTCAAAACGAGTATCTCCAAACTAATAACGAATTGATATAATTAATATAAGGGTCTAAGCAAATCAATGATAAGTCATTTCGTTACTGAAAATACTTTAAAAAAACTTTTGAATGTTTCATTCTCACCAGCCACTAATGCTGGTGGACGGGTAGTTCCTCCCGACTACGCTGGAGGATATTGCAGAAGGCCCTCTTTTGAGGAATCGTGGGAATAGGTGCGTGGTGGATGGGGTGAGAAAGGTAAGGACAGAAGAGAGCGAAAGATTTTATCTGTAGAGTAAAACTTCCCTCAGCTTTTGACTAAACGATCCACGAAAATCACAGGAAAACTTGGACCAATTGAGCCGGGGTCCTCTTGAATATTAAGCAATGGTCTAAATCTCTTGACGTGAGTGACCCGTGCCTGCCTTTTTATTCTTAAAGATTAAGAATAGAATGACAACAAGGGTGTGGCATATGTCACTATTGGCTATTAATACTTTTAAAACTATTAACTTGGTTCTTGTAAGGCAAAGCTTCCAAACTCAAAATTAGTCGTGATATTTATTATTTGTGAAAACGTGAAGACATCAATAACAGCAAACTTACGGAACTTTCTAGTCGTGAACCTAATGGACACCTCATAATAAAATTGACATATCTTATTGTGCTCCGTTATATCCAAGAAAATCAAATTCGCTTGATGCTGCAGCATCCACTGACCTTCCCAGAAAGGTCATCTCTACCTAATAACAGTACATCACTTTGCAAGGTCAAAATGTATTCTGAAGGAAATGACAACCTTTTTGAACAGTTCATGTCTGTAACTCTAAACAGATCAAGATGTGTTGGAGCAATTCCGAATCCAAATTGAAACTTCGGAGATAAATGCTCCTGATTGTTTTATTCTTTTACGTTTTACTTCTCTTAGTAGTGCCATTAAATTATAAAAATAGCATTTTTTGTGGGGTTTGATTGCTGAGTTCATCTAGACAGATATTTGCCGCTTGTATTAAAAGTTACATATGTATGAACTGCTTACAGCCTCTGAATACCGTCATTCGGTTATTACGTCAAACTTTTTTCAGTCCTTAGGGTGACGCCATAATCAAGTTCTGCTATGCAGATTATGTCCTTTGGTTTTCATTTCTTTCCATTAATTTGTCTAGATGAAATAACTTGCCTTTTATCTTTTAAGTACCAAATTCTAAATCGGATTCATTGTTATAAGTTCTATGTTACTACAACCATTATAAAATTTTATCAGTAGAAAAGCATACCTCCCTACTGATGGAAGAATAACAAGACAGTTATCGAAAACTTTCCTTAATAACCCGCATGCATTTATTATCACCAAGGTAGTTTATTACCCCATAAAACAGCGTAAACTTCCACGTTGACTCCCTACCTCCCAGTACGCTAAAAGTACATAATTAGATAACATAATGTACAAACAACAAACGTTCTTGATTACCCTTAATTACCCAGCAATTGCTTTGAAAATTATTATAAGTACCTAAATGTATACGAGAATGAAAACCCAATGGTGTAACTTCGATATATGGATAATTTTTTTCTTCTTCAAGTTGTTAAAAATATCGGAATCAATAAATTTTTAAAAAGTTTAAACCCATAAATCAACGAGAAGTTCCTAAAATTAGTCAATTTAAGCTTTAAAACTCTCCAGGTTACTATCATGCACCATTAATTTCTCTTAAATTATTTTTATGGCTGTCGTCCGCCATATTGATAAATAAGAGAGATCAATTTATTTTACCCCAACCTCACTGTCAAAACAAATTATTTATATTAACCGATAAGCAGATGTCAATAATACATTCTATGTTACTATTAATAATGTGTATGTAATGTATTTCTTCAGCTGGTCTATGAACTATCTAAAAGGTACATAAGCTACCCAAACATGTGACCATATGAGTATTTTGATATAGTCATCTTTCCATTAAAATGGGTAAGAATGAATTTAATATATCTAATTTGTTTGCCACTGTCTAGTTAGTTTGCAAACCAGCCAAATTTTGAAATTTTGACCATTCCACCACCAAAAAAGTAAATACCTACTTAAAATAACCAATATTCATGATTTGTTTATGAACTGTTGCCAACAATGTTTGTCTATTCAAATAAGTCGTTAGTTTCAATTTCCCCTAATAAACATTTCTAAAAAACAGTGCTAGTGTATTATAACCATGGACATAGAAATATAGAGACGGACATAAACTAGTGGGTTTGAGAGCGTCATAGGAAAAGCGGGAGGAAAGCGGGTTCCTCAGTACTATTGACTAAGTATGGTGTGTAGGTAGCTATCAGATTTTCTTTAATAGTTTATATGAATAAATTAATGATTTTGTCATTAGTTTTAGTTCTTAATAAGATAACACTTGAGTGTGGTACATATCAACTACGGTGTACTAATCAGAGAAAATATACATAATTCACACCATTGACTAGGCAAAGTGCTAGTGACAAAGTTAAAACAACTATTATGAAAAAAGTAATAGACATACTTTAATAGGTTGCGGTAAATTCAGGTTTATCTAATAGAATGCATTTCGACGTTTCCCTAAAGGCAGAAATTGATTTTTGTAACCATATAACAAACAAAAAGAAGAAACTGTTTACTGAAGTTTCCGTTTATGTAAACAAATAGATTGCGTATTTTATTTGGGCGTGGTACTTATGATTTATTTGCTCATATAAATGTACAGTGTTCATTGTAAACCCGTTTTCCCGTTAAAATATTGTTCCAACCCTTGTCTCACCCCTTTTTCTAAATGTGTGTCTGCTTAACAAGAGTAAGACATCTTACGAATTCAATAATTCGATTTTCAGACTTCGTCCCAGTTTCTTCGACAGTTATACCCCTCCCAATATATCAAGTGGGATATGGAATAAATGTAGCCCCCAGTAATAGAGGTAGTCAAAGGACATACACCAAACCAGAAGGACCAGTTACGCTGTTAACAGGTGCGTATTTAAAATTGCCCCCCATTTAGTGTAAAATATGATCTATAATGAGATTGGCAGAAGGTATAGGATTAATATCGATTGAATTTCAATAAATCGTCAGTGTGCCGCCATTTATAGTTGTTTATTGCTAATTGTAGTAATTGTCAGGGTTGAATTTACAAAGAACCTTTGGAGCATGTGCCCAGGATCCCTATAAATTTATGTTTAAAACAATTTTTTTTGCATTACTACTACGACAGCCGAGTATGCCACGTTATGGAAGCTCTTCACCATCTCTGAGAAGTCCTACCTTCAAATTTTTCTTTTTCTATTCTTCCCTCTTACATCTGTAACTTATGTGAAACGTTTGCTTCATATCTCCATATTAAAACTCCTCATTTATTCATCCCACATCAATAATATCCTACCAACCGTGTTCCGTATTCAAACAAGATAAGGCCTTGGGAGACAGCGAAAAAACCTAACCCAAAAAAGGCAAAACTACAAAATACATCGCAAATATAAGAGGTAGCTCATCATCCACCATCCAAAATTTGTGTAAATTTTCTAAATCGCCAGATACTATAACTGACCGATTATATATCTTGTAGATGCCTATGAGCCCCATGATTGTTAAATCGGGGGTTGTTTATGTACATATTTGGTAAGGGCCTCACAGAAGGTACATACACTTGATATTTGCCAAACTGAATCTATGCGATATCATCATCATTATAAGGTCGTCAGTCCTAAGACTGGTTGGACACGTACCTCCGCTCTTTCCTATTCTGAGCTAAACTTCGCATTTCCTTAAAACTAGAACAACCCACATCCTTAACCATTTGCGAACAGTAATCTAACCTAGGTCTACCTCTACCCCTCCTAATTCCTGTTTCTGCTTCTAATATGTCTTTGACTAGACCTTCATGCCTGAGAAGGTGTCCTACCAACCCATCTCGTCTATTTCTTGTTGACTTCCATAGAGTCCTCTGTTCTCCTATTCTTTCTAATACCTCTTCATTTCTAACCTTTTCTACCCATGATATCCTCATCATTCGCCTATAACACCACATTTCGAAGGCTTCTAACCTATTCTTTTCCGCCGCGCCCACTGTCCATGTTTCGATATGCGTATTATAAATAATTTAAATAAAGAGCATCAAGATATACACATAGATGGTGCAATTTACTTGATTTAGTCATTAGTTTTTGGTTCCCACAAGAAGGAACTTTTTCAATGGCCCAAACGCAATCATCTAATAATTTTAATGTTTGTAAGGTTGATTGGCTAATGAAATGTTTTATCACAACAATATACAGTTCATAAATTCTTTTGGACTCAGAATGCTCTTAAAGGTGATTGCATAATTCGGACATAAACAGTTCATTTTTTTTTTATATCTCAAATATTTATTTTTTTATCGTTTTTGTCCTTGAAGCGTTATTTCTATCATTACAGAAAAGCAACAAAAAGCTGAATAACGTTGGCCAAGTTGTTTATCATTTGAATTATCACCCGTCTATGGTTTTATGCTTTTTTCCACATGTACTATTTGCATTTACAGTTATGTATTTCAATGACGTCTTTATATTTTCTGAATATGTTAAAGGCAAATTCTGTAGCAAAAAGCACTACGTATTAAATACATGTAAAATATTTCGATAACTCGGTAAGTAATTAATATTTGTATTATGAGTTGTTATAAAAGTTCTTTGAAATTTAAAGGGACACTTCATTCTTGCGGTATACAGTATACTAATTTATACAACATTTATGTATACAATTTCTTCTGATACATCCTATACATATATACAATTCGTTTCTGGGTAATTTTATTTGTCAATCAAATATCCAACTTTCTTCTTAAAAAATCTGTCTCAAATTTTAAGACAATTTTTGTAAATTATCTGATATAAATGATTCAGTTCATTCCAAGTTTTCTAATATTGATAGACAGCATAATACACGTTGACGAAGTTGAAAATCCATTATGGTGATTACAGGTAAATAATTAACTTATTTGATGCGGGAGTTCTCAGCTGGAATGTAGGCGGGGAGGGGTTGTTTGGGGCAGAATTTGATGAGGAGGTTGGGAAGGGGTAGGCGCGGAGAAGTTGGCAAGAATGGAGAATGAAAGAAGTTGATAAAGTATCAAATTCCCCGCTCGGATGGCAAAAACAATTAATGCCCCGGGGGTAAACAGCAGCTTTCGCAGGATGAATAAGGCTCTGGGTGAAAAGTTCAAAACCTAAAAGCTGCTCTTGAAGTATTCATATTTCATGAGCTTATTAAGTAAATAGAAAACTGAAAAACAACCATGTGTGCATACAAATTTTCTTAACATTTATTGACGTATAAAAAATCGACCTCAATACTTTACCTACACGTATGCACAATCTTAAATTAAAAAATTGAAAGGATCTAATCTAACCAGGTTGCGTTAATTTCTCCAACTTTTTTTTGATTATCCTCCAACTTTCTACACGTAGAGGTAGAATATTTTTTTCAACTTTAAATGGAACACATTTAAAAAATAGGGTATGCAGAAAGGATAAGGGGTGTTTGTAAATTCAATAAAAATAAAACTACAAGTCAGAAAAAAAATGTTTTTTTAATAATTTTTAGACAAAATTTTGGAAAATTGTGTGTCAAAGATAATGTTCAAATGTTGACTCTCGCGATGCTGGCACTCCGCCAACTGAAAACGGAAATTAGCCGTCACGCGTCTACAAATCTTTCTGCAAACGGCGGCCATTTCGGTGTGGATATTGTGCTTCAATTGCATACACCGTCTCTTTAAGGTACCTCCATAAAAAATAAGCAGGAGGTATGAGGTCGGGGCTTCTCGGAGGTCGGTTGATGGTGCCTAGACGAGAGATCACTTTTTTTGGTGTGGCAAGTGGTCACATCTTGTTGAAATCATCTTTCCACATTAAAACCACCAAACTCTTGCTATTGTGGAACCAAAAAGTTTCTAAACATGTCACAATACCGGTTACTGTTTACCGTAAGTGTTCGCCCTCGCCGGTCATCAAACAAAGAAGGCCCAATGATGCTTTCACCAGACATGGCAGTCCACGCAATAACTTTAGGACTATGTAGTGGTCGCTCATGTTTACGTCTTGGATTTTCTTTGGCCCAGTGGTGACAGTTCTGTTTGTTTAGGTGACCATTTAAGTGAAACTTCGCAAAGTCACAAACAGAATGTTTTCAAACGTTGGAAAGCGTTGAAGCATTTTATTTGCAAATTCAGTCAGAGAGGATAATCGGTAATGTTCAGTTTTTGAACTAACTGAATTTTGTCGGCTATAATATGTAAACCTTGCTTCAGAATCTTCAGTAACAACAATTTTTTAATGTCAAGTTCTTGACTGTGTTTGAGAACTGATTTAGGCACTGACATTCTCATTTCTTCAATCATTTGTTGGGTTTGAACAGAGTGCGGGCGACCTGGATTGTGAATTTTTGTAATCGAACCGGTATTCTCGAACATTCGAATTCATTTTCTGTTGGTATCGTCCTTTCGATGCATTCCGTACATTGAATTTCGCCCGATGTAATGGATGAGCTGTGATCATCGGATCACTATTGCGATAATAGGCGCGTACGCAAAAAGCACGATGGTCTTACGGGTACACTTCTATGGTCATTAAATCTCCAAAAAGTAGTGAAACAACCTATTCCTACCTCACCCCTCCGAAACGCGTCCTTGCAAGGACAGCGCAGATACAAATACCCCTTACAAAATCAACATAGACATAGAAAAAATACTTCGAATATTACTATCGCGAGGTTAGCCGGTTACCTACACATCGTCTTAATTTCAGGATACATCTACTGTTAGACGTGAATGAGAAAGTTGAGGGTTATCTAAAAAGCTGAGATAAAGAAAATTAAAGCAATTCAGCAAAAAAAATAGCATTAACCTATATCTAGAAACTACTGCAGTTACTATTCTTTTTGTCTTATTTTTCAGTTAAAAGCAAAAATAAGAAACCACTCCCTGTTGAGAAAGAAAAGAATGACCCTCATCCTTCCAAACAGAAAGAACTGCCTAATGATACAGAACGATAAGAAATGGATGAAGCATTACGTATGGTACACACATCCTACGTGTTGAATGGAAACAACTTATTCTAACAACAAAAAAAAATATTTCAAATCTCGATCAACTTGTCAGTTAATACGGAATGCAAAGGAAAGTAAATATACTTATTCGTTACTAACAATAATTGTTAAGCAAGAGTAGTTACCAATCACTTATTAACATTATAAATAGTAAATGTTGTTGACTTTTATTGAAAATAAGCATAAAATTAAAATAACATTATCCTATTTTGCATATCATTGCTTAATACAAATAAACTGTTGCATATATATGCCTATAAACTTTTAATTGTTTAAATTGTTACAAGTATTTGTAATAAAATGATCAAAAGATAACTAATAAATATATTTTTCTAATAAAATGTGTCTGTCTTTGAATTTTGTTTTGTGTAAAATGACTTTCAAACACACCATCTACATTTTAATTGCAGAGAACAGTAATAATAATAATAATATTTTAGAGCAAGAAGTGCTGATAGTTCGTTACATAATTCAATCTGTGTCGTTTCAACCTCTGGTACATCACTAAACCTTAATGATGTAGATTTTAATCCTGAGGACAAAATTATGAAAGANTGAGACGGACGAAATGAACACAGAAGAGAGCGAAAGATTATCTGTGGAATGTTACTGCCTCAGCATTTGCCTAAGTGATCCAAGGAAACCACAGAAAAACTTGGAACAAGACAGACGGACCCGTAAGCGAACCGGCGTCCTCCCGAATGCTAAGCAATGGTCTAGACCTCTAGGTCATGCCGCTCGGTGAGTGTATACTCCCAAAACCCCAATAGTGATTATTGTTTAATAGAACAATACCATTACCTTTTATGCTTTTATATCTATAATCTAGGTAGACAGGTAAGGTAAAACATTCACCAAGCATGAAAATTATACATTTTATTTGTCCGCATATTTTCTTTTTGTCGCGCACAAGTGAAAATGCATGTGGAATTTATCTTTATTTATTTAATTTTTCAACCACATCTATCTGAAAATATTTCCTGATTCTCTGAAAACTGTACTAAACTAAGAGAATCTTCAATAAAATCTTTTGAACAATGCATAACGTTCCCAAAATGCTTTAAATTGCATTTATTGGAATTATATTACTTTATATGAAAACATGGATGAAGGTATTTGTGGGTGCTTCCATGAAAATAGGGCAACTCTATGTCCACACGAATTTTTCACTGTATTAGATTAAATAAATTTTACTTTTTAGTTAATAATAGGTAACAGCTTGATGTATTTTATTTATTGCCCTCAAAATGTTTGAAATAATTTAGAATTATACTTTGAAAAACTTTCTTAACTACCACAAATATCAGGCCTTAGCCGTGTCAGCCTATCAAAATTTTATATTTGGCCACCAATATCTGAAAAAGCATTCCTTTTATACACTTTTATTTTATTCAAGACATTTAAAAATATGACTATTTACCTAATAACATCAATAAAAAAACAATAGTTCGAAAAAACATTACATTTATGTAAGTTAAATTTGTGTCCGCGACTTTAACCATCAGACCCTAGCCGCTTAAGAATTTTCAAATTCGCGGTTTTTATCGTGAATGTGGGAATGAGAATCAGTTCATTTTAAAGTATAGACATGAAGTTATCTGCAAATGCCGCTCGCCTTGTGTCGACCATTTTGTAATTCAGTGCAACCGCGGCGTAAAATGGCTTGCACACCTTGTTCCAGTCACTTTGTCAGTCCCTCGGTAAGCAATTTTTATATTAAATAGTAGGTAATTGTTTTTAATTGTCAACGATTTAGTATTGTTTTGTAAGCCCTGTTTATTAAATGATGTTAGGTATTGTGGTATATATAACCAAACAGAATATTCGTAGGTTTTCTTCTTTTCTTTAATTAATAATGATACTGTCTAAAATACGTTCTTAATAAACGTGAAGACATGCCTGCGTAGGAGTCTTATTTTATTGCATTAATTGTCTTAAAAAATCTTATATTACAGTATATCAGCATAATTTTCATCAGTCCATAGTTATGTGTCAGTCCCTAGACGTCTAAATTTACAAAAACCTGAATTTCTCTTAAAATACTAAACAAAGTGACTGGCCCTTTTGAATATTAATTATTCTATCGATCTGTCATAAATCACACTAATTTAAAATTGCACAGAATGTAAAAAATAGTAGACTAATTACTTCATACAGTTGCCTTATTTGTATGGAATCACCCTTGTACAAATTTTCCTATACCACGACGTATTGTTCAAAAAACTATGCTCCTATTTGATGACTGCATGTAATGGAATATTCCTATGTTCGGGTGCAACATTTAGTTTAGTGTAGTTTAGGACATTTTTCAGAGGAAAAAAGGTGTTAAAGAAACATGTAATTTGTATATATCGAAGTAGCAAGGGGGTCACTTGGCGTAAAAAAAGGTTTACTATCAAAACAAATGTTTTCCTTTTATTATTGTATACTGAGCACAACCATTGTCAAATCAACTTATGTTTAAACTAATGACAAACGAACAACGATAAGTATAAAACACAAATTATTAGATGGGAGCCACGAGTCTCCTTGACTTCCGGGGGAGAAAACTATACGCTGTATGTGGATCCGGTGGTTCACTCTCTAAGTGGAGATTTCGCTACAGGGTTGCAATAGTCAAATCGAACCCCAGTCCATGATGTACCCGACTATTTCCGAACCACATGAACCAATGGATTACCTTTTCCTCTTAGCTCCACACCCGCTTCGGGGACTTAATCTCCCCACGAACTTCACTTCATCTCCTCTTTCCTCATTTAACTTTGCTCTCTTTGTACGAACCCAAGTTGTTGAGGTGGGTCTCACTCTCAAACTGTTGTAAGTATAGATTCTTTAAGTTACTTGTAACCCAAGATGTCTTAAGTTACCATAAAAATGACAATGTAAGATCACAAGGATATAAGTAGTTATAGGTAATCTCACATAAGTTAATACGCCTTGAGTTCCGTGATCATATGAAGAGCACTCGATTTGCACAACGTAATAAATTTTTTCCGCGTTAAATACAAATGTTGCATAAATTTGGAATAAGCAAAACGTTTTGAGTTTCGTAAAGTTGAATGCATGCGGTTTTAAACTTAACGTTATCCAATATAAGTAGGTACGAGTATCATGTAGATTTGTAGACGTTTTAAGTACCTAGGTACAAGTTAAAATCAGATAAGTCTTGGTGAGTAGGTAAATTGTAAAATATGTTATATCTCCATGTTAAAAGGTTTTAGAAATTCTTAATAAGAATTACAAATAAAATACTATAAACAAACAGTGTTACTTATTAATATTGTATAAACAGTGACGTTCCTTTAGGTTTAGATCGGTTGACGAGAACTATAATTGGTCCTAAAACAGGTTTTGGTGTAGGTCCTCCACTAAAACTGGGTAGTGTTTTCTACCCAGTCATACAGCCAGGGCTGGGTGTTTCTTAATGATTTTTCCTCATCCACGAAAACAAATAAAAATGAACTTTGACCATTGGTTAGCACTCTTGAGGATACCGGTTCGAATCCAGGTCCGTCTGCTCTAGTACACGTTTTTCTGTGGTTTCCTTAGATCACTTACTCAAATATTACGACTGTAATAATATTTCACAGACAATCTTTCACTTCTCTTCTGTCTTCATTTGATTTCATCTTTCTGTCCCCAATCACCACCCACTAATTCCCACGATTCCTAAAACAAGCAAGAAGAGGGCCTTCCTTCCAACCATTCGGCGTAGTCCTATGGGCTTCTCCGCTCATCAGCATGGTAACTGGTCGGAATAAAGCACCCAAATGTTTTTTAGCTATTTGGTTCACGATTGAAGAAAAACATACATACTGAAAAGGTACTTTAATAATTAAGTTTTAATGGCCTGAAGAAGAGGGGTTTTAGTTGGTATGTCCGAGGGTTCAAGAACACCTTCCCCAGTCGCATGGGCGGCTTCCATGAGAACAAAAAAGTAATGGTGTCTCTTGTGTAGTTTAAGGTAATAAATTTATATATTCGAGTTGAAAATTCAATGTATTTAGAATATGATTTTTACTGGAAGTATTTGACAAATGTCCAATCTGAATAGTTTGTTATGCATTTGCAGGTGAAATTCACTTATAAAAGAACGTCTTACATCTGAGGCTCAGTGGTCTAGGGGTATGATTCTCGCTTTGGGTGCGAGAGGTCCCGGGTTCAAATCCCGGCTGAGCCCGATTTTTTCATAATTTTTCCATGTCATTAACAGTAGAACGACAAAACTGCAGAAATGATTTGATATTCAAAATTACGTTATAAATTGAAGAAATGGTTGTTAAAGTACGAATAGCAACAGCAAAATGGTGACAGAATTCCTAACCATGACTGTAGGCGTTCTAGATTTAATAAGAATCCGGACAAGTCACATGTATGTGACTAAAGAGAACGCTAAAGATGTAGGTTGCAATCTGTTTTTGCAAAATTCTTGCGCGAGAATGATGTATATGGTCGATAATAATATCAAATATCTCATCAGATCTTCAGCCCAAAGATCCCTTTTTAAATTCTGTTCCTGCTTCTGTGTTTGTAACAAGCTACTTATGTCTAAGGTGTCCTACAAACAATCCTATCTTGTCTATTTTTTCACCGATTTCCATAACGCCCTCTGCTCTCCAACTACTTCTTTTTATAAAAAGTATGTATGTCTACACTGCCGAAAACTCGAAACATCAAAATTGTCATCGTAGCACATTTCACTTTCAACATAATCAAAAGTACAAGGATGTTTCGAGAAGATTCATCGAGTAATTGATCCAGTAACGTTTGATTTGTAATTAACAAATAAAATTTAGAAATTGCTATGATCGCATGTAATTCATTGAAACCAAAACCATTTTTCTACTCTTACATTTTTGCTGTTATCTGTGAATGATTGAATGTTAAAACTTTTATACGGAATAGGGAAAAGGAAGATGACAGTGAAAAATGAACAATACTAATACTCACCAGCTTTCACTTACCCATTTATCCTATGCAAGGGCGGCAGGACTCCTGTAAAATTCCAGTTTCATCATAACGAGAATATGGTCTTCGTCATTTGAAGGAATGTACAGCTTGGCAATCGACTTTCGTTTTTGAGAAAAAATTTTTTGTGCCCCTCATACAATTTTAGCACGTGTTTTATAACATTGTTTTACTGATCACCTTATCGTTATTTTCTGATTTTCATTTTTTTCCGTTCTCTTTAAATATCTACCTATTTATTTTTCTTTTTTCGTAGCATATGATATGGGTTTCTTTATATATTTTCACCCTTGTTTTTTTTTCTGGCTTTTTTGGGGTCTGTTAGCTACGATCTTTGCAACAAAATCAATTACATACATGAGTGTACAAGGGGGGCGGCAACCTTGGACCACAAATGCGTCTTAGGTTACTGCCTAACAATACCAACTTACAGCTAGTAAACCTACAGTAAAAATATAAACATTTTCTGTTTATGACCGCAGAAAATGAAAATTTTAAAAATACAAATTACCATCAAGATCAATAACATAAAAGTAATAGAATAACTAGCAAGAGTGTTTTGTTTTTACAAAAAAAATCACAAAAAAGTTCCACTCGAGCGATTTGTACACTAAATTCATTTCTTCTTGGTTCCTATTAGAAATACAAAAAAGAAACTCAATTAATACGCCAACTATACGACTATGATGTATGCGTGTGTATGCGATGTCGTTCATACAAGAATCTGGTGTCATTGGTTGATGCAATTTGACGTTCTAAAGTTGGCTGCGGTGCTTTTCAGTCACTATCGTCGCCACGACCTACCCTCATTGTCCTCTTCTTCTTCCTCGTCATCTTGAAGAAGGACTTCCTCCGAAATTTCAGCCCCAATTTGCTGTAAATAATAAATAATTTTGGATGTTTTCATACAAGATAATGTAGAAAGACAAATACTCGTTAATTCCAAAATTTAAAACCTAGTTCTAATTTTATTACCAAAGACATACTGAATAGGTCCCCTTGAACGCCTATCATATTGACAAAAAATCAAGTTCATTTGAACCAACTAAAAAACTGAAGTTGCTCCGTATAAGCAAGTTGATAAAAGTAAATAACAATATATCGCCATCTACTNGTGTTTGTTTTGATCTTGGATTCAATTCACTGCCTCTGGTAAGCAATTTAAAGACTGTGGTATTCTACATGTAATGAATTTTTTATTTTTAGATTAAGCACAATATACAGTGGATCGGAGCAATAAGAAATATCAGTGTTTTAGGTCGAGGTTCAGCCTTTGAAGTCAGAGAAGAGTCTGGACCCAACCTAAAAAGTGCCTTGAGGCATATTTTGTCAGTAGACCTTCGAGATGAGCTAATATTTCCATCTTGTGGGACACTTTTCCAATTAACTACTGAATTTGCTGGATTAGGGGGTAACGTCGGATTTTTGAAGAATGATGCGTATTTACAGACGAATTATAGTATCGCTGAAGATTTCGTAAGTTTCTTTTTTACTAACTGAAATTTAATATTTTTCTTTTCTTGTTATACTATACATATAATTTATTAACATTTACGTTTTTCAAAGTAGGAAGTCGGTCATTTCTGTAAATTTCTGGACAATCAAAAGGTGGTAAAAAACAAGTGAAAATGAAAGGTATAACAAATAATAATTACAACAAATAAATAAATTTTTCGAATACGTTAAAAGTAAAACTACAAAAGTATTTTAGAAAAAAATTGTTGTAGACTTATAGGAAGCATTTCCATTTGAAATTATTTCATGTCACATTTTTTTACTACTTTATACTCGATTTTTTTGTACAAGCAATTAAAACTTGAAAACTGAGCTCAGAATCATACCGTTTGGTCTAATGGATAACTTGAAAAACAATAATAGCTTCAGAGGAGGTCCTGTTATTGTCCGTTTCTTTTTTTTAAGAAATATGAGGTTACCTACCTTAATTCTATTATCTCTATTTTCTGATTAGTTTGTTTTTTTTTATGTTAAAACTGCCATTATGTTTCTAAAGAAATTGTTTTTAAAATTGGGTAATAGATGCAATTGGCTTTTAGTTTTTATTTTTGTATCTGAAAATAATCATTTCACTTCTACATATTATTGCGAAGTTATGACTGGACCAAACTATATGATTATGGGTTAATATATGTGTTAAAAAGTTCTAGGTATATTTTAATAATTTTATCTAATTATAGTTTTCTTATTTTTTCTTTACCGAAATGGTTAGGTTATCCAAACAACATTTCATGGAGGATATCTTAGGGGTTTAGATAATGATCTAAAGGTAACTTTGAGTGATCTATTTTTCCTTGGAGGTCCTTTAAGTCTCAGGGGATTTCACACGCGAGGCATAGGCCCACACGCGGAAGGAGATGCATTAGGAGCAACGGTAATATAATCGTTACATAAAAGAAAATATTTATTATGAATGACAAATAATTTTTTTCTTAACCGCTGTCTTTGTCTGTGTTTTAGTGGTTTTGTAGTGGAGGGTTACATCTGTTCACTCCTTTACCATTCAGACCAGGCCACGGCGGATTTGGAGATCTTTTCAGGACACATTTCTTCCTAACTTGGGGCAATATTGGAAATATAACTGACGGTAATGCTACAATCGAGCATTAAAAAAATGCGTCACAATTGTTTGCATTTTTCCAAATGTGCTTGTTACATTATGTATTAAAAATTGTTTTTATGTTTAGATGAGAAGCCTGTTCATGAGCTAATTCTAGAAAACATTCGGATGTCCTTTGGTATTGGTTTAGCAATGAGGCTTGGACAAATGGCTAGAATTGAATTGAACTACTGTCTGCCCCACTTGGCAGACGAGAAGGATTTGTCACAACCCGGTGTTCAGTTCGGTATCGGTGTTCGATTCTTGTAGATTGAAAAGAATTGATAGCTATAAAAACATATCGTCGTTACCGTCAAGTGTACAGGTTTTTAACTGAAGTGACCTCATTGTTTTAATTTATCGTTCTGAAGGTCTGAAATGTACGCATTTAATTATATTAAAAGAGTCGAAAATGTTAGTATTATTGTTGAAAATAAATAGTTTACACCTATATCCATCTGAGTTGTTTTATTTTCTGTGGACATGCTACGAGGTAGTGAATATGAAATGAAAGTACATCAATTTGCAATTAAAAGTATCTAACAAATGTGTACGCTTTAAAAAAAGGTGATTAAGACACTGAGAACTATATATTCATTTATAAAAAACTGTATTGTAATTATGGGGTTTTTTGAAATAAAAGTATAGGTAGTGACCTCTAGTGAATGCTGATATTCCTACATGTTTATATTCAGTACTATACAGGTCTCTATATGGTAGACAATAGCAAGAAATATTAAAAATAGAATTTGATATTGACTATTAAATAACATAGATGGACCACATAGTTCTACGTTCAATTATTTTAATTTAAGTCAGATAATTAAGACTTGTGTAGGCATACACACAAAACACTAAACATTTTTTATAGTATTTTTTGTTTAAAACCATTTTATAAATTAGAAATAGTAATTTATTTTAATTTTTGTCTAGGCATTCTTATTTGTATAAATAGATACCTATTATATGTTAAAAAGGTAAAAATAACTAACTTAATTATGTGCATCTATGTCACCTTGTGAAAAATAATTTTGTAAACAGCGAAATCACAGATATATCACATTCGGAAAATTCCTTGTTACATTTTCCTTGCGTTTTCCCTAAAAATTCAGCTCGTAGGAGTTGATCAAAAAATTCGCCATTAGCTTCATCTTGCAGAAAATCGTCATCTATGTCATCCACCAAATCTTCTGAAGGTCTAAAAACGATATGAAGGATGCCATCTTTAAAAGCAAAACAATCGGGAATTATTTAGAAGATAATTTTATAAACTTTAGTTCATACTTGATACTTACGTAAATAAATAATGAACAATTCTTTCTAATAAGCTATCTGTATCCTCGATATGCATTGGATATTGTCCAATTTCACAAATTGATTTTAGTAAACAAATTCTACCATTGAATCCTACGCTAAAAATCCAAAAAATACAAGTATTATAAATTGCCATTCAAAATACAAAAATAGTCGCGATTAGAAAACCTAAAAGTTCGGAAAAAATTATACAGAGAGTTTATGTGCTGATGGTTTTTGACATAAAAAATATCGTACCTAATAAAAAGTTATTTAAATAGGTTCTGTAGTTAGCATTATTTAATGGCTGATTATGATACGCAACGCATTAAACCTGTCTCCATGGGGTATTTTACACAACTCAGTTAGGAAACCTTTTCTCACCACAGCCTAGCGTAAGCCAAACTTAATTTAGCCTAACGATTCCGACGTTTATTGAGAAGCGATTATATAAAAAAAAATTACACAGAATCTCAACGTTGCGGTATCAAATAGGTACTTTCCGGAATTATTTTTCTTAAATATGAGAAACAGTCTAAACATAAAGAAGAGACCATGAAATAACTGGGAAACTTAGATTTGGGAAGTGATCAAAATTACGTAGAATCTTTGGTCCCAACGGTTATCGAGGACAGTGTTAAATGGGTACTTTCCGGAATCGTCTTTACTAAAATGTATGAAACAATCTAAACATAAAGAAGAGCTCTTGAAGTAATTGGGAAGTGGACGATGTGTTACTAAGATTCGAGAAATGATTATTATGCTCAAAAGTACGTAAAATCAAATGACCCTATCGGTTTTTGAGTGTCGTCTCAAATACGTACTTTCCGACATTATTTTTGCCAAACTATTTGAAATAATCTAAACATAAATAAGAGACTATGAAATAATTAGGAAATGCACGATATTTACGAGAAGTCTTATGGTCTCAACAGTTTTCGAGTGCTGTGTTAAACAGGTACATTCTGTCATAAGTTTTGCTAAAATGTATGAAATAATCTAAACATACAAAAGAGCTCATGAGAAATGGACGATATTTACTAAGAGTTGACAACAGTTTTTGGGCGCGGTGTCAAATTGGTACTTTAATAAAGCAACGGAGGTAACTAAATTGCAGAATTTTAATATTTAGGATGTTGTCGCCTAATCGAAACATTTCTTTTATGTAGAAACCCTAATTCGTATGTGTGATGTGCTGTGTCTCTTAGGCCGATGTAAGGTTTTGGTAAAAGATTATTCCCTGACTGTCTTGCGTATGAAATGCTACACCCCATGGACTTGGGTCAGGTTATGAGATCATACTTCTTGATTGGTTTATGTGAAGTACAATGTCCCAAGTTTAAACCTTAAACGTTAGTTTATGGTGGAAAAGATTCTGATAATTGTCATGCGTATAGACTTTTGTTAGGCTATAGTGAGAGAATATACCTTGATTGGCTTTTGTAGTATTACGAAGCAGTGGTTAAGTGGTATATATATAAAGCTACTGATTTCCAAGAAGTCTTAATTAAAGCACACAAAGTGAGTTAATATTCATTTTGTTAGATAGTAAAAANACAAGGAACGAAGTATATATATATATATATGGCCAAACTAGCTTTAAGTCGTAACATTTGGTGCGAACCTTTAATTCTTTGGTGATCTTTAAGGTCCTTAATTTCCCTTTTCCCTGCGTACGTGCAGTTTCTAAGTTTATAACTTACTTGTCTATTATATCCATCAAATATTTATACAAGGTGATTCTGTCCAGATCATCAAGATCTGGGTCAACTGCTCTCTTCGTAATAATAGGAGGATAAATGTTTGAATTTGAAAACTGTATTGAATAATTGGTTGGCAGGTTAAAAGTTTGTTGTATCGCAAAATCTATTGATATTGCACCCCTTGGAAGCAGTACATCAATTTGCAATTAAAAGTATCTAACAAATGTGTACGCTTTAAAAAAAGGTGATTAAGACACTGAGAACTATATATTCATTTATAAAAAACTGTATTGTAATTATGGGGTTTTTTGAAATAAAAGTATAGGTAGTGACCTCTAGTGAATGCTGATATTCCTACATGTTTATATTCAGTACTATACAGGTCTCTATATGGTAGACAATAGCAAGAAATATTAAAAATAGAATTTGATATTGACTATTAAATAACATAGATGGACCACATAGTTCTACGTTCAATTATTTTAATTTAAGTCAGATAATTAAGACTTGTGTAGGCATACACACAAAACACTAAACATTTTTTATAGTATTTTTTGTTTAAAACCATTTTATAAATTAGAAATAG